TTCCAACTATCAAGGCCTCGGTATTTGACCGATGTCGAGGTGTAAAATCTCTGAGCATGAGCTTCATGACTTCGGGCTTCCAATCATCGGCAGCTGTGAAGGCGAAACGCACGACATAAATGTAAAACCCCAAAATCAATCCCTAGACCCTAACCCCTAACTCTAAACCCAGCGGGAACCCGCTTTCTGGACACTTCGGCGAACGGAAAAGGAGCGTCTGAAAAACAAAACTCTAAACCCAAATGCCCTAACCCTAATGCTGTAGCTGAAGCCCTGAACTGAACACGCCCTGAGCGCTTAACTGCTTCATCCACAACTCAACCTAAAATCAGCTAGGCTCCGGTGACTACAGCCCGAGCCTCGGGTGTGGCTTAGAGATGCTTGGAGTATCTATTGAGGGATCTAATATTATAGGGGTTAGGGTTTAAGGATCAGGATTTCGGGGTTTACGTAGGGTTTCTGGAATCCAAACAGGTTAGTGCAAGGCTCAGTCTTCGTCTGGGATTTGGGGTTTGGGGTCCAGGGATTGTCGGCGGGGTGAACCTGAAGCCTTCGAACCCCTTGTCCAAAAGCCTAAAGCCACATTCAAACTTTCGAGCCCCAAGTTCTTTGAGCCCTAAACCCTAAATCCCAACCCTTAACAGCCCCTCAAAATACGAAACCCCTGAAGAGATCCTAAAACCGAGACCGGAGTACAGGGTCTTGAAAACATACCAATATTATTCTGTCGGGTTTGGGTTTAGGGTTTTGGCACTTGGTTCGTATGTTCATACCATAATGTGCCTCAAAATCCTATGCTTAACTGTTACTGCCCTAGATCATGGCCGCCCCTGAGGCATAGGGTTTGTGGACTGAGCGTCTGGGTTTAGACATGGAGGAGTTTCGGGTGGATGCTTTTGGGCCTAGGGTTCACGGGTCAGGGCTTACTAGTGGGCACTGGATGGACAGGATTTACATGTTGATGGTGCTCATGTGTTCTCGACACTTGCTAGGTGCTGAGATTTTCACATGAGCAGTGCATGTTTCTTTGTGTTGGATTGGACCGGGCTATGCCCGTGTGTCCAAGTCCGCCGAGAGTTGGGCAGCCGATCCTGACGAGCTAAGCCAGCCAGGTCGATCCCAGAAGGTGCAGACGTCGCGACCCGAGAACCCAGAGATCCCAATAACCCTTGATTCAGGAAGACAATATACCTTAAACTCAGAATATTCAGCACCCCTATGACTATGGTTATATTCCTTAACTATAGGTATATTCTTTATAGAATTGAGGGGTATTGGGTTCCCTGGGAAGCCTCAAGCTCCCTGTGCACAGAGCAGGAGCCGGAGAGACCATCAGCCTTTTGGTGCTTACAAGGCTGCTGCCGCCAATAAGAGATTTTGGGGTTTAGGATTTAGGGCTTAGGATTTAGGATTTTGGGTTTAAGGTTTAGGGCATGCTCATGCAAGCACTCAGCGAGTAGCAAAGATCAGTGGAGTCGCTCCGTCGTTGGGCCTTAGTACCGGATGGAGTTGCTCAGATTTCCCAGAGAGGTTCGCATGTTGTGCTTGCACTACGGAGTCGGCACTACCGTATCGCTTACCTTTGGTTAGTAGGGAATGGAGGAATGGGGTACAATTATAACTACTATTACTACCATTCTTCCATTCCCTACTAACCAAAAGTAAGGTCGTTGCGAGTCCGGATCCGGAAGAGTCTGGAGTTTAGGAAGCAAGGTTCGGGTTTAGGATTGTTACACTGGAGAACGAAATTGAGGGTCAGATGCTCAGCTGTGCAGTTGAACACGTCATACTCGGTCTTCAAGCTGAAACCTCTTCATTAGCCCGAAACCTGAGCACATACATGTATAGAGACAATGTAATATTTATAGCTATCTGGTCATAAAACAGCCAGGGGCCGCAGCCACAGACGTCCCCACAATCGCTGCGGCCAAGGTGGCGCCGCTGTTTCTCATTGTGTCACTGCTGTCCAACATGGCCTCACACTCAGCCTTTGGCTGATCGCGAGTGGTCATCTTTACCACCGTTCTAAACCTTCCACAGACCCTAAGCCATGCAAGCGGCAGACAGATCAGAGCGCCAATCTCCACAGAGTTTGGCAGAATGGATGAATTTGAGAAGAGGTAGACATGACGTCCCCTCATTTTCTAGTGGCCAGACTGCGGATCTGAATGCTAAGGCCTTTTGTGAAAGGGAGTATCAGGATTTGAAGTTTATAGTTAATGGTGTTATTAGTAGGGCCAGAACTCCTCGTCATGCTCAGCAGCGAAGTCACACAACCTGCCATGTTCGTCCTAGTCATGGCCATCGGCAGCCTCATCATATCTTTCGACAGCTACCCTAAACCTTAACCCTAAATCCTAAACCCTGTACCCTAAACCCCAAACCCTAAACCCTCAACCCTAAGCATCATCGCCACCATCATCCTTCCTCGTCCTCTTCCTCGCCATGATGAAGCTTGGGCCCTAGCAGTCCTACAGTGTCACTCGGCTCGCAAACCTTACTACAACCGAAAGCTCAGATCCCGGCCCTAGATCCTTAAGCCCACAACCCAAAAGTCGCAGAAAAAGGGGGCTGCACAAAACTTATGGGTACTAGTTTTGTTCGGGGTGGTCCTTCTTATAGTTGTAGTATAGTGGGCCCCAAAACAGTATAATAATTATTAGGGCCCCTCTCGTCAGCTTGAACCAGAAAGCCCTACCTGGCGGAGGTCTGTGGACCCGCGATCCTGAGAGAGCAGTATCGCAGCAAGGAGGCTACAAAAGGGTTAATAGTAAGAGTACGAGTAAGAGTAATAGTCATAGTGATAGTAATAGCAATAGTAGGGGTTGGGGGATTAGGGTTTGGGGTTTAGGGGTTTCTAGCATTTCGGGTCTGGGATTTAGGGTTTAGGGTTTTGGGGGAAGCGCGGGCTTCCAGGTCAGGATGAAGTAAGGCTAAGGTGACAAGTGGGCGTTGCTCTGGCTTTACGTCTAGCCCCAACTAAACCCATCCCCCCAGACGATTGGTCAGGAGTCCGGTCCCGGTAGAGTCACTTTTAGTGTATCCCAAGCTGCGCATCCACTTAATAAAGTGACGTCAATCCTGAACCTGAAGCATCCTTAGCAGGTCACTTAAGTTATTTGTGGTTCTTGACCCCTTGCAAACAACTGACAATCTGAGCCAGAGCTCTAAGTTCGGCCAAGGACAAGCCACCGATCCTTGGGGTAGCGGATATGGGGTTTAGGGTTTGTGTGTCTTTTCTCGTTAATTTGCGTTTTCTGCATAAGGGATCCTAAACCCTAAACCCTGGCTTCTGTTAGAGGGATCTCCGAAGGCCCCAAAAGAGGGATCTCCCAAGGCCCTGAAGCCTAAGCTTCAAAGGGGATGAAAGGAATCAGCTCCTGCATCGTGAATTCCCTCCAGATCCGCAAAGACTTTAGGCTTTAGGGGGGTGGGTTTAGGGAATGCTTACTTTACTCCCTTTTGGGCCGTGCACCTTTAGAAGGAGCATCTCTCTTAGAACGAGGACAACCTTGGTTGACAGAACTTTCTGCATAGCTTATAGGATCTAGGGATTTGTTCAACTGACTCTTAAACCTAGCTCATATCAGCGGCAAAGCTCATGAAGCAAGAAACCCCTAAACCTTAAACCCCGAAGCCGTAATCCTCCGAACCCTCAAGGGGTCGTTGTCGACCCTAAACCCTAAACCGATGTGCGAGGTGAAAACCATCCTCCTTTGTGTCGGTCTCATTTTTCTGGGACGACATCTCGACCAGCAGGCTGCGTCTGCTGCTCTTTACAGGGCTGGCTGGGCAACCTAGTATAGGGGCCTCAATACAGGATCTCTTTAAAGGGTTCCTTAAAGGGACCTATAAGGGTTATATAATAGGGTTCTACATTAGGAGCCTTAATAACGACCTATACTATTTTTGAGGGGGGTCCATATAATAAATACAGTATACTGGGCCCCAAAACCCTATTCTAATTATGAAGGCCCCTATCTTAGAAGAGTTGAACCTTGTTGGGATTTACATGATCCTGCCATAGTTTAACAGTTGACCTTGTTGGGTGTAGGGGTTTCAGCCCCTAAGACAGGGCTGTTGAATGGTAAGACTGTGAGCAGAAGTTGTAATGCCAGCGACAAATGTTTGCCTGTGGGCCACTTTGGATGATCATGCCAAGGATCGGGGCGCAGGGCGTTGGTGATGACGCTGGTAGAGTCTTAGAGTTAATAATGATAAGTCGACACGCCAGATGACGTTCTTCATTGATCAGTGTCGGTCGCCACTGTGGTAGAGATCAAGCATACACTCAGGCTGAGGGCGAGATGCTGGATGATGTTGAGAGGGGACGATGATGGCGACTCTCCTTTTCTTTCGATTGTTGAAGCATGCTGCTCTTAGTAGCTGAGTAGGTACTATCTAGCTTTTTGCGGGCTAGGGTACTCAGCACCTAAGGCTCTGGTCATTGCATGTCACTTGAGAGCCGCGCACAAACCCCGAACCCTCAATCCAGCTGACTTGAACTTTGCCGCCTACAGTCTGTGCGTCAGCCTTGCTAAAGACCTGATGAACTGTTGAGAGCAAACCCCATACGGTAAACACTGTAGGGGAGAGCCTACGTAGACCTTTGGGGACATTTCGTGCTTTGCCTCATTGGCCTCAGCAGGATCCGTTGGTCTAAAATGTCGTGTTTCAGAGGTTGTGTTTAGCATTCCCGTGTCACTGCAGCGGACTTCGAAGTACTGCAGGGGCTTGAAAACGTACTTGTGGTCGTGTCCTTTTTGTTCCCTCAAACATGCACTCTACTTTACCAAAACCCTGTGCAAAGTATCCAGGCACCTACCCTCACCTACTTCCAGCCATACCAACAACCTTGCCGACTTACTAAGTTGACAGTTTAACACGAAGCGTTTCAAAAGGTTTTGGAAAACACTGCGGTCATGTTAATTAAGTATGCTGTAGTCTTGCAGGATTTGGAGTATCACAAGGCCAAGCCTCCATCCGCAAACCGCCTGCAGATGATTTCCACAAAGTTTAAGAAGCACCTGACGATCCGGTCCGACACCCGGAAAGCCCGTTGCGCTTTGGAGCCTGCATGTGCTTCCGGTTCAAGGGCTTTTGGGTCTGCTGTAGGGGTAACAGTTTGGTCTTGGGGTTCCGGTGTTCGACTCACTGCACGTTGGGCAACACGGGGGTCTCGATGACCATGACACTGGAAGACTTGGATCACAAGGGCTCTACAGTGCTTTGTTTTGCTAAGAGTCATCCCTGAGCGCCCAACACTCTTGTCTTAAGCAATGCACGTGTAATCAGGTCTTGGACCTGTCTGAATAGCACTGACAGTTGTGGTTGTCACAGTGATGGTGGTTGCTGCGCAGTATCCGGCAGTTCTCACAGCATCCCAATAGACTCCTTGGCAGGTGCCTCCCCCCATAATAATAGTAGCGACAGAAAGCAGAACGACGAGAATAAAATGCAAAACAACAATATGAACCCCGCGATAAAGAATGAACAACAGTCGTAATACTACACTCGTAGCAATTAGTGGCCATAATATCTATGAGCTGCAGCTTTCAGGAAGGGGACCCTAACTTTGAAGGCTAAAGCCTAAAACAAAAGCCCAAGAAGCCGCAGCGCAGCAGACGAGGATCTTGAACCCCAAGGACCTCAAGAGCCCTGGCGAGGTTTAATACCAGGGGGTTACCTATCTTTCTTTTTTTTTTTTTTTTTGGGGGGGGGGGGGGGGTGGGTTCTTGTTATAGTTGTAGTATAATATACACCAACATTTCTTTGAGCAATTATAGTAGAATATGCCCCAAAACCCTATTCTCTTTATTAAGGCCCCTATATTAGTCATGGTTGACTGTTGAGGGGCTCTTGTTTAGGGTAAAGGGTCGATACAGTCTGCTTGGGAGCTCTGGGGTTTCAATTGCTCTTGCGTCCAAAGGCTGAACCCACCCATGTTACTGATGTGGGTAGTTGTCAAAATGAGGTTCGACCCTAATTTAGAGAACTACTCATGTATGAGCTTCACATAGCTTCACCCTAAACCCTTTGCCACTAAACCCTCAACCGCTCAATGTCTAGATCTGTCGTTCCCGGTCCCGCTACACCCCAGATCCTTTCCATCCTATTGTGAGGGCTGCTCCTTCATTGTGCCATATCGGAAGATCTGGGTAATATAGGGGCGTTAATAATTATTTGAGTAGGGCTTTGGTGCCCATTATACTACATTTACAATAAGGAACCCCGCAATTATTAAGGCCGCTATATTAACTAGTTTATGTTGGTAACTCCCGAAAAGTTCTGATCTAACGCCAGCGTGCCCAGACCCCAAATCTTCAAAGCCGAAGCCCACAACGGCGAAGCACAGAGCCAAAAATCCCAATATAGTGGCCTAAACAATTACAAATACGACTTTTTTTGGTGGGTTCCGTTTTAATTCCTACTCTAATTATATATTAAGATCCCTATGTTAAACCCCGAAACCCCCAATGCAACTCTCTTTCTTTCAATGCTTGTGGGGCTCGAAGCACTCCTTATGCAACCCGGACCACTCAACAGGAAACCAATACCCTTTTGCTGGGGGAGTGTTTTTAGGAGCGGAGAGCGTTCTTTGCCGAAGGCTCGTTGAACGTGTCGCAGACGGCTCTTCACACGATTGTGTAATGTGCAAGGTACGGTTCTCAACCGTAAGGCCAAAAGCCTTGCAGCTAATTTCCTGGAGCCCCGGATCATATGACAGACGCAGCGTTTAAGATTTAAGGTTTAGTTGGGAGATGCCCGAAAAAACAGTTTTACAAACTTTCCCCGAAGCCTAGTACAACAGCCCCAAACCCGTTTTGAATGCCTACGCTGCCCTTTCAAATTCTAGCCCCCCAACCCTTTCGGCTGAGGGTTTAGAGTTTAGAGTCTAGGATTCAGTCTTATCGTAAGCCCCTGTAGACGAGGGGATTTGGCTCGTCCTGCAAATCCTGTTGCCTCGGCCAAGGAATGGTGAAGGTTGGGCTTCCGCCTCGGCTTTCTCTCAGAGTCAATCTGAAGGACTACGGTCTACTTGGAGGATCATGGGACTTAGTAAGTAGGGTTATAAGTACCTTAATTAAGGTTATAAGTAGATATAACTATAGTTACCTTACTTATAACCCTACTTACTAAGTCCCCTGATCCTTTAAGTAGGTGACGTGTGTATAAATCTCAGCACACAGGGCTTAGGGCTTAGTGTTTCCCCAAGCTATCGGGTTCTTGGGTTGCTTTTGAATTTTGGGGGTGAGTTTCGGATCTCGTGTTCGCACAGTTTGCTCGGTTCTGAGTTCAGGTTTGAGAGATTTGTGCTTGGAAGGTTTTACTGAGAGGAGAGAAGCATTAGACTAGTTCTCCAGTGGCCCTCAACACATCCTAACCCTCAAGCTAAACCCCTAAACCCTAACAGCCAAGGCTCTAGATTCCCCAAGAGCCGGGCTCGCGGGTTGGAGTTCTTAGACGGATGGAGTTTAGAGTTTGGGTTTAGGCACCGAACACACCTGAAGCCCTTTCCCTGAAGCCGGTTTAGGGTCTAGGGTACTAACGGTTTAGGGTTTTGGGTTTAGGGTACTAAATCCCTAAGCCCTGTGTCCACCCCGGTTGTTTTGAAGGGAACGAAGCAGGGCTTTTGCGTAGAAGCGAGATGAGGCTTCGGGCTTAGGGTCGAAATGCTGGCTTTGGGGCTCTGTGGGGTTTGGGGTTCAGGGCTTACTTGCGGATCCCAAATCAAAGCTTAGTAACTTCAACATACAATGGTTCTGAAACTCTGCGATGAGTTTAAAGCGAGACTGTTTAGGATTCGGGGTTTAGGCTTTGCAGTTCAGGGTCAAGTAAGGAGTTCCCTACAGGGGAACACTCGAATTCCCTCTCCCGATACACCATAGCCTCACAGTGATATCCAATTAGTCGGAAAACGGATTAAGGATTGTTTGTTTCGGTTGCCTTTAGCAATTTAGGGTTTGGGGTTTAGGGTTTTTAGCATTAATTGCGTGAATATACTTCCGTTCCAGGACCCAACGCAGATAGAGCCCTTATCAACCCTAAATAAAGACTGCAAGCCCAAAAGGCCTAACACCAAAAGCCCCTCGAAACCCTCAAGCCCCTACGGTCCTTATAGCACACCCAGCATACCGCTTCGTAGATAATTACTATTGATGAAGCCCCTGTACAACCTTCAACCCTAATCCTAAACCTATTGAAACCTTAGAGCCTGATGCCTAAATGACAAGGTAGTCCTGTCTCACGAGTATGCCCGACTGGACACTTAAGAACATCGTCAAAAATCTCAACTCTTACTACCCACACCCTGCATCAAGGCCACCGTCATCTCGGCGAGCGTTTGGGTAGCCACCTTTCTGTGCCCCTGAAGCAGAAGACCACTACGGCTCAGTGTTGGAGGTTTAGGGTTTTCAGTTGTGGCTGCGGCTTGCAGCTTCTAGGCTCAGTGGCTGCGTGAGAAGCAATAACTGGGATTTGAGTTTCTGCTCCGATTGACAGGAACAAGAACAATGATGAAGCTGATGCAACCATGTTCGTCACCTTTGTGGCTTCGCAAAAGTGTTGTTGTCGCCATGACCGTAGTAACGAAATGCAAGTGCATAGTCAAAGAGTCAAGCTACAAACCGAAACAGCGCTCGACTCCAGAGGTACTACTTTTGGAAGTTTTTACTTCGCAACAATCTGCCGCAGCCGATCCTCAATTTGGGCAGGAGTGCGGGGTTCGGGGCCACCCGGTTCTGGTTTCGTTCCCTTTTCCGAGGGAGTGGGGTTTATGTATGCGCAACTTAAGTTCTGAGGTGTGGGCTTGGCTTGGGGACCTAATGCCGTCTTCGCGTCTTGGCTTTGGGTGGATCGGGTTTGCGGAATTCGGTTCAGAACTTGACAGCTTCGAGTTTCTGCCTGACGTGTACTGAGGTGGCTAGAAGGGTTTCTATATGTTTCTATATCCAAGAGAGTCCATAGAGACTACCTTTATGCAGTGTGGTCCCGCAACACCATAGCAGGGATGGTCTCTTGGGACCTACCTGCAGAACGGCAGTGTATATGGACCCTCTGAGTATTCCTTGCACGATGGGTTCGGGGGGAGTCAGCAAAACCTGACACTGCTTCTCTAAATCTAAACCCTAAACCCTAAACCTGAACCCTAAACCCTAAACCTAAACCCTAAACCTAAACCCTATAAACCCTAAACCGTAAGCTCGACAGACGACCAGCAGCCCTCAGTCCCAACACCCCCTTTTGTGGGGGCCCGAATCCTGTTAGCTTGCTTTTGGTTAGTAGAGAATGGAAGGGGCCTTATAAAGGGGTCTATAAGGGATCTATAAGTCTATAAGGGTACTATAATATAGGGGCCTTAATAATCCTATAACTTACCTTTGGTTAGTCGGAAATGGAGGAATGGGGTACAATTATACTACTATTGCTACCATTCTTCCATTCCCTACTAACCAAAAGTAAGGTAGGGTTGCGGGGTTGGGGGCAAAGAGTTTGCCCTTGAGGGATTTAAGTTTTAGGGTTTAAAGGAGAATCCCAAAAAGATGGGAACCCAGTATCCTCAATCCTGAAGACTAATGTATAGGGCATCTCAGCACTATTTGGCCTTAATCCGATTTCCAACTTTGTGGGTTTACTCTTAACCCTAACCCTCAACCCTAAACCCTATGCCCTAAACCCGAACCCTAAAGATCCCTTAAAAAGAAACCCCTTATAGTAACCCTTACTGTAGGGCTTCGGGCTTAGAGCCAGCAGCATTCTGCGATCTAAGCCCCTGGCTCTAAGGCTCAGGTCCCACATCCCATGCAACAGTGTCGAACTCTGGGTTTAGGGTTTAGGGTTTAGGGGTTTAGGGTTTAGGGGTTTAGGGTTTAGGGTTTAGGACTCTCCCAGAAAGGTGTTAAATGGGAATTTCTGAAAATTAGGGGTACCTTATTTGGGGTCCCTTATAGTTAGGATCCTACCTTTTTAGGGTACTAGATTAGGGTCCCCTGTTTTCGGAGACTCCCAAATCCCCAATTCCGAAGTCCGAAACAGCGAAAGCAACGTGCTGAAACGGTTTAGGGTTTAGGGTTTAGGGTACCCTGTACCCCGAATCCTCAAGCCCTACGATGCCAGAAGCATGAGCAGGCAGCCAGAGGAGTATTACGGGGATTATGCTTCCGCCGTCCCGGCAGGGGCCCTGAAGATAGAAGCTCCTTGCATCGTGATGTGGGGTTCGATTTGAAGTTTACCCAAAGGCCCCAAAGTAGTTCCTTTTGGGGGTTCGTATATAGAATCCTATAAGGTAACCCCAAAAAGGAACTACTATGGGGCCTCTGGGTGGTTTGCGACTATTAAGTTTCTGGATTCTAGATGGCTCGATTGCCAGAAGATGTTGGCCTTCTGTGCTTGGGGCATGTTGGGGGACTGACCCCCCCCCTCCCCATGGCACATCTACAGTGAGTTGGAAGATGCGAATTTTGTGGGGGATGTGGAAGCCTAGGAAAATGACGACAAGCCCATGTTATATACAATCGGATTTCTAGTCGGTGCCAAGCCGGCCTCAGCAGCGTAAACTACAGCAGTTTAGCCCACGAAAGGGATGTTACCCTCAAGAGCTCGTGTCTTCTTGGAGGGCTCTCAGGTATTTCCGTGCGTACCCGCTTGTGGATCATAAGGCGGCAGGTCCGGGCCCTCTGAAGTGTGACGATGGTTTAGGGTTTGGGTTGTGTGTAGCAGTTGGGGCTTTTGTGCTGTGAGGATTAGAGTTTTGGGTGTTGCGGTTCGGTGATGGTGATGATGGTGACGATGATGACGACAGTGATTTTTGTCAAACATGAATGTTAGGTGTGTGCAACTTGCGGTGATGATTCGGAGGCGGTTCGTGTTCGTATCAACGATAGTTTTTTTTGCTGGTTAGCGTGAAGCACCGTTGCCCAGCAACCGACCCACCAATATACTACGCATGCGAATCAGCTGGTTCGAACAGAATCACACTTGCCTCGAACATGCACATGGCCGCATGATGGTGCGGTGGAAATACATAGGTTCGTTTTTCCCTAAACCCTAAACCCCAGGCCGCCAGAGGCAGGGTCGTCGCGGATTTGAGGGAAACGCCCATTGCATGGGCCTTATACGCCCCACCTTAGCTTGGAATAACCTACTTTTTTAAGGACTTATATAAGGAAATCAAAATAAGGAATGCTAAAAAGGTAGGTTATCCAGAGTTAAGGCAAACCGGTACCAATTACATCCAAAGCCCTGCGCAGAGCTTGAGAAGGTCTTCAAGATCAGCCTCAGCCCCAATTGAGCGGCCGATCGTCTGCTTCTTATATTGGTCGTAGGAACTGTGTTTCATTTTTCTTATAATACCCTAAGGCTCTAAGGACTCATATTTTAAAGCTTTTGGGTCTAAAGACCATATCATATAAGGCGTTTGGGCCATTGGGCCATTTCAAGCCTTAGGGACATAGCTGAATTATTGGGATTTAACTTTTAGTCTGGTTCTAAGGGCGGCTAACGCTTGGTGGTGTGGGAAGTAGAAACTCGACTTGGGAGCTCCCCTCAAGCACGCGTTGCCGCATCCAGAATCAACTTGGCGATGGGGAAGGACCCGCGCGAAACAAGTACGCTTCGTGTGCGTGCTCGTTAGTGACAATTGTTGTGCTCAGTCTGTCGTGATCTGCGGGCTATGGCAACTCGCTGCATCAGTGCGCTGCGGAATAGTCGAAAGTCTGCTTGAAAGCAGACCATTCGCAGTTCTGCATTGAGTCTTCCGTTGCCGTTGCCCTGTCCGGGAAGTGAAAATACATACGGTAACGATTGCAGATCTTGAGATACTTGTGTTGTCGGTTGCACCATGCCAGTTCTAGCAGATTCTAGCATCCCAAATTCCAAACTAGGGATCCAGGTCAACCCGTAGCGTTTCCATCACAGTTTGCTTGTCCTCTGTTTCTGCCGTTTGCATCGTCTGATTCTGCGTACGGGTTCAATCTTTCTGGCATCAGCAACCGCAGGACTTGACTAACACTCGCGAAGATTCAATCCCACCGAATGGGCAATTCGGCAAGCGGCAGTAACATCCTTGAAACTTCCGAGACACCATGGAGCCACAAGGGTTCAAATACCGAGGTGGGAACGGCTTGATCGTGGACCCCTGTCAACATTGGAGCAGTTTTTGTGTTGGCTTGGAATGAAACATTACATTGAACTTCACTTCTGTGCGCGAATTTTGGAGTTGGACACCTCGGTTCTCGTCGGCATGGCTAGCGGTGTAAGTGTACGTGATTAGACCGCGAGCCTGGGAGCTTTCGCTACAGCCCCTCCGACATGTCTACGTGGTCAGGGTGGAGGGGCAAAGGTGCAGGTGCACGAATTTGTGAAGGCAAGGTATTCAGCAACTTGAAAACGTTCCGGCAGAATTGCAGTCACAAAAAGATAAAAAAGAGGTAGACACTAAATAGACCCAGCCAAATATGAAAAGTGCAACAGCGATGGAGCAATTCCGTCTTAACAACAAGTTATAGCTAAGCCAGTGTTAACTGTTAGTGCGAGTGCTGCTACCGCAACAAGGTTGGAACCAAGCGAAACAGAATGGAACAACATCTAGATTCTAGTGGTGCTGGCTGGGATTCATGACCCGTGTTGGGGCCTCAAAAGCCTCCATGGACAATAAATTCGCCATAAACTTAATCCAAGAGGCATTATCAGCAATAGGTTTTCCATCAATGGCGATAGTCATATCAACCAGGGTAACGGTTAAAGCAATAGTGAAAGAAGTTTGCGAAGGATTGAAAGCAGTAGTCACAAGTTTGGTTGTAGCAACCGCCCCAAGCCTAATGCCCTGAATGGACGCATCTAAAACTCCAAAACGTTGGGGTTGTGCACCTGCAGTGTACATTGAGGTCACGGAGGGAAAGTGCCCGAAAAAACGATCGGGGGGTTGGTTATGTTGTTGGCGTTTCCCCTCCACCCCCGGTTTTTTCTACCCAGGTCAAAATTTTCACTTTGGCTTGCACCATGGTTTAAGGCCGCGGCTCTTGAATCCTGAAAACTTTTCGCGGCAGATCTCTGTCAAGTATGGAATGTTTGCTAGACCTTCCGCCCTTGGAGCGTAAACCTTGACCCAAAACCCAACACCCGCAAGCCCTAAACCTTGACTTGAAAGTTCTGAAACAACAAACACGTGTAATCGAGAACTTAAAATTTGATGCAGCTTACAATGCTTGATGAGGTGTTGTCTGGCCTAATTTCTGGTGCGACTTACTTCGAAGGGCCGTGGCCTCAGGAACCTGTGTATGTAGATTGGTGTGGAACACGACAGCCGCCAGATTTGAAGAAGAGTAGCTCAAGATGCGAGGGAGCACTGCAGAAAGAACAGTGAATATTACCAGAACGGCAACTGCAGCGGTTTGTCGCAGACGACGGAGACAGTGACAGAACCAGCCAGAAAAAATGCAGCCGCAGCAAAAACTTGTACAAACAACAGAAGCAGCAGGACCAACAACGGCCAACAAATAACAGAAACAACAATTCCAACAACAACAGCAACACCAACGACAACACCAACAGCAACAACAACAACATCGTTAATAACAATAATAATCAATAATAATAGTAATAATAACACCACCAACAACAGCAACAGCAACCACAAGAATAACTGTAATGAATCGGGCACGTCGGTTCTGTGCATTTACATGGTGATCTAGCCGCCAGCAGCAACAACAACAGCAGCGACAGCAACCACAGCCACAACAACGACAGCACCACCACGCAACCACCACCACAGCCACAAGCGCCATCAATGATAACAGCGTTTGTGATGGTCATTATGACCGCTATGACTTATGCTGCGGCGCAAACGATGAATGCTCCACAGACCCTTGTATAAATCCTACATCCTAAGACGTACCGTCCTCGGCAGGTACCTGGGCCTGCCTGTCGGCGACATGCTCTTCAGCAAAACGGGGCTGAAACACCTGGCTCATGACCAGGTGGGCTTGAAAGTCTGGGATCCCCAGTAGTACCCTTTTGCACTTTTCTTTTTGGGTTTCCTGATGAAAACCAAATAGTAGGAAGAAGGACATTACTGGGAAACCTAGAGGTGCTGTTTGCAAGCGGGCGTTTTTGAGCAGATCTAGAGGGTTTGAACTAGAGATTGATATGCGGTGCATGGGCTTCTATAGGACTTATACTTACTACGGCGTTACTACGGAGGCTTAGGCACTAACAATTGCTTCTGCGGTGGGTTCTACAGATGAAAGTACCCAAAGCGAGATGACATGGGGCAAGCCCATTACAGCGGACATCCCTCTGTGAAGGGGCACTCTCCCATGTTGCCTAGGGTTTACCAGCTGAGCCATGTGTATCAACCACGAGCTATGCAACGGACGCACGGCTGAGCAGCGCGGCCCGTCTGTCCTTGAAGTCTGAAGCTAAAAAGGCTTGTCGAGACAGGCAACCAAGTGGCAAAAATGAGCAGCTGAGCCATTTTACAAGGCTCCCGAATGTGGGGATTGGGGGGTATAAGTAGCTAAGTCCGACACCCCCCAAGTCTGGGAGAAACTCTCTGGCAGCACCTCCCGAGGCCCCGCAGCAAAGAAACATCCATTCATACACAGGTTAGACAACTTGGCGACAGTGTTGCCTGAAAGTCCGTATATAGCGATCATCATACATTATCATACCATAGTATGCCCCGTGGCCCAATTCTGATTCTGAAGGTCCTTCGACTTTTTTACCAAGTCTAATGTTCCCGGCTTCAGGGTCTATGGGGCCGTATCTCGTCGATTCGCGTCGCGCAGGTGATATGGGATCTCATCGTGATGTTCGTCACTGCAGCCCGGAACTGAGAGCAGACGTGGCTACTATGACTACCAGTGCGTAATCTTGTACCAGTACTATTTTTTTGGGGGGTCCTTTTTATGCAATATAGTTTCTTGTACCCCCAAAACCCTACTCTCATTATTCAGGCCCCTATGTTAGACGCGCGCGGCGGTTCGACTTGGGATTTTAGGAAAGACTTGCTAGCTTCCCCTGTGCTGCTTCAGAGACTTGGGGGCTTCAGGCGGCTCTAGGAGTCGAAACTTAGTGCCTTTTTTCCCTCTTTGTAGTCCTACGTTCCTTTTAAAGTTACCCAATACCAAAAAAGAGCCCTTTTTATTCCTAGGTTCCTGGGCATCCTAGGAAAAAGTTGGGTAGGTTCCCCAGAAAACCCTATACCCCTCAATTAAGGAGTATACCTTAAATCAGAAAACTAAGCCGCCGAAATCTTAAGGTCGAATCCTTAATTAAGGCGTATAGGGTTTTCTGGGTAGTTTTCCTAGCAGTATCGTTTTGCCCCTTGTTGAAACCAACCAGAATGGCAAAAGGGGTCCCCTAATTACAAGCGCTATTGGGGAGCCTGGTATTAGTCAGGCCAAACTGGGCCTTCTTGCTTTTGGCCACCCTACTTAGACTTAGAGGATCATGGGACTTAGCAAGTAAGTACCTTAATTAACGTTATAAGTAGATATAACCATAGTTACCTTACTTATAGCATTATTTATGTACTAAGTCCCTGATCGTCCAAGTAAACCCAAAACCTTAGATCCTAAATCCTAAACCGAAGCTGAAGGAGTTTGGGGCTGAGGGTTGCGCACCCCCGATGCCAGGGCCAAGAGTCGTAATTTGGGTGCCTTAATAATTACTTAGTAGCTGAGTGGATACACTTTACACTTTGGGGGATAATATTACCACTATAAAACTGAAAGTGCAGACCCCTGAACTTGATTTTGGGCCCCCACCATAAACCCTGAACTCTTACGAGCAGTACATGAACTGTTGCACGCCCGGCCCAATACCACCGTTAAACCCCAAACCTCGAAACACCACAGGCCTTCTCGCTCACCTTCTCCTTGGAGGGGACGCGACGTGCCTCAGACTGCACGCGGTCCAACTACACACCCCAAAAAAGTAGGGTCAGCCTTCGTTGTAGGAAGCCCTGCCCCAGTTTTCGCGAACATCAACCCAAACATGATTCGAAGCTTCTGAATTGTTAACGGCTTCGGGGTTTGAAATGATAATGTTGTTCCTTCGGGTTCCCGAAGTGTGTAGTGTTCCCTTTCAGGATTCTATGTTACGTCGGGTGGGATTCCCGGGGCCACGGCGAATCTAGGCAAAAGCTTATTAGAGCGTTTGTCGTCGTAGGTTCCATAAGGGTGTCCTTTCATTCGGGCCGTACGATACACCCTACTGTATATGGGGCGTCAGCTGGCGCGTCTGTGTCTCTGAGCAATACCCATAAATTTCGCCGTAAATCTGGTAAATCTAGCGAGTACAAACCCCTAAACTCTAAGTGTGTGTGTGTGTGTGTGTGTGTGTGTTTAAATAAATAAATATATATATATATATATATATATATATATATATCGCTTTTCTCGCTTTTGGGGCACAGGATCCACGTTGGCTGCAGCCCGTTGGCTTTATATATATATGTATATATATATATATACACATGCCGTAGCACAAAAGCCCAAAACCTAAACCCATACGGGTTTAAGTTCAACAGTATGTGTCTCAATTACATGAAACAGAATTCTTGCGACCTTTGCAACCCAAATCTGAGCCCTGCTGAGCCCTAAACCATAGGCTTCACATCATCAGAAGACCCGATGCCCGTCAAAAAGCAAAAATAAAGCCAGAAACGGAGTTAGCAATGCAAAAAACTGTTCACGACTAATACTGGTAGCACGATAATAGTAATGATTAGACAGCAATACTCGAATCTGAAGCCCTAGTCCTGAGCCGTCAACCATCGATTGCGCACGGAGGCTTTGATTGCCGGTACTTCGTCCCGGCATCTTCCACGGTAGGCTGTGGTGGGATCGACCGTGGATTAAGAGTTGTAGGCTGCAGGATTTACGCCTTTGGCTTTGGGATTTTAGGAGGCAGGGGATTTGCCAGACGTCTTTCACTTTATGTCTGGGTCTGATGCACTTTGCATTTACACCGCAGGCCGTTCTTTTAACTTTGCATCCTGTTCCGTGTCCTTAGATTGAAAGTGGCGTAGTATGCCGTAGTGTTACTATGGGATCCGACAAGGCACCCTGGTTTGGAGAACGACTCGCAATATCCAAAACTGTAACCCGTTAAATCCCTTAAACTCCATGCTCTTACTCTGTAGGCTTCAACCCCGAACCGGTGTTTAGTGCCTACTCAGCCCATGTGGTAGCTGGGCTTTAGAGCTGTCCCAGGCCATACACTGGGCATGTAGGCGAAGATGCATTATCTGGAAAGTCTAAAGGGTCTGATAAGGACGGTTTGTCGCTGGCCGTAAAATTCGAACTGTTGTTATGGGCCTATTACGGGAGGTGCTGCGTGCATTAGGCGCCTACATAAATCCTTTTCTGTCTGCTACGTTTAGGGTTTAGGATCCGGAGGCCATCGCGGGTTGGGTAATGTAGAGTTGTCTTGGAGCGCTTAAAGTACTGGCGAAGTGAGCGGCAAGCCAGGCAGAGTTCAGAGTACCTTGGCTCAAACCTTGCATTCTCATGGCCACAGAGGCATCTCAGCGTGATGTTTGGGATGCTATTGTACCCAGTGTCCGCAAAAATCAACTCTAATAAACTACTAGGAAAAATGCCCTTTTACTATCCCCCTGTAACTACACTACACCATGGTATACCCTAAAGCCCATTCTGATCAGCAAGGTCTCCGTTTTGCCATTGTCCGTAGCGTGTTCTTTGTGTGGGGCACTTCGCTTCTCTCACGCGCTCAACATGGCGAAGCCCAGCCAGAAGTTGTTGCAGGGGCTGCGAGAGTACATGGAAGACGAGGACACACGTTAGTGGACTTCGAGTTTTGAAGCCATAGATGTTAGAACCCAGACCCAGAACACCCGGCACTCGTTTGTCTCTTTTTTGGGGAGGGGTGGGGCGATTTCGAACAGAAGCCAGCCTTTCGGCGCTTTTTGAGGCATCTAGCGGCAGCGATTGTGTATCCATACGTTTTTGGAGCTCCTTACCATGGTTACCTTCTAGACGTCCTCAGAAAAGGCAGGGGGCTTCAGGGTCCAGGTATGCATAGGCATACTACTTAAGTCGGTCCGGTCCCAAGTAGCTGAGTAGGCAACCTTTAACCTTTTGGGGTTTAGATAGGCCTACCATAATTGAAAAGGGTACCCTGTTTCTGGACTACGGTGCTCAAACCCTAAGGGTTCCTTGAAGGGCTCTATACAGAGGTTCCCTTAAGGGTTCCTTTGTCCTTTCAAGGGTCAAGTTGAAACCCTAAACCCTAAACCCTAAACCCTAAACCCTAAACCCCTAAACCCTAAACCCTAAACCCTAAACCCCTAAACCCTGACAGAATCTGGGAGTTTCCGAAAATTGGGGATGCCGTATTTTGGGGTCCTTAGGATGAGGATCCTACTAAAAAGGGTACTACAGTACTACAGTAGGTTCCCCTATTTTCGGAAACCCCCATCTGGATCTCTTGACCCCAAACCCTAAGCATGAACTTACACTGAAAAGGGCTCTAGGGGTGTGGGCTTTACACTTGCAGGTAGTAGAGCTAAACGGCAAACCCTAACCCTAAACCCGGAAGAAGTTAGTAAGGGCTTGGTTTTCAAAGTTTGCGATATCTCCACCTCCAAGCCGCCCCTGGGTCGCGGCACAGACAGGACTTCCTTCTGGAGATTTCCTGCTGGGCCTGGGAATACTGCATGAAGCTACCTTGCAGCGGGTTTGGGGAGTTGTTGGGGGCTTGTTCTGCAAAATCCTAGTCCCACCACTTCTCTAGAACATTCTGGAGTCAGCGCACAGTCACCCCTCATCTCATCGGTACATATTTTCGGGTCAATGAGGTCTTCTCGACTTCGTGGGCTTAGCGCCAAGAGGGAGTTGGACGGCTTTGGCTGAGGCTTACACAGTCGTTTTGCTTTAATTGCTGAGGGCGGTATACACAATCCGTTTAGTAAGCCTGAAGGCAACCCTTAACAGGGTAACTCTTGAATCTGAAATAGACCAGGAACTCTAAAGCCCTAAACCCTAAACCTTGACCGCATTTGGGCTTGAAGCTGTGGCATTTACGGGTTAAAGTATGAAAAACCGAACCCAATGTACTCATTAAGTCAGCCCTTAGACCCTGAACTCTCAACCGCCAAGATTTCCGCACGAAGCGCCGAGCCAGTGGGAGCACCCCTTGGAGTTCACGATCCCTGGCTTCTTCGCACATGGTGGCGCCGGGTTTGAGGGTTGCGGTTGCGGGTTCAGGGTTTGGGGTTAACGCACACATTGTTTCGGGCAAATGACCGTCAAGGTAGTAATCGCAGGAATGTGTGCATATGGTGGCAGAGAACATCGCACGAGCAGAACCATTCAAGTTCGGCTCTATACAGCCCTAAACCCTACCTAGACCCTCAAAGTTTTGCTGTGCCTGGCTTGGAGCCCTAGAGCCTCAAATACCTGCTGTGTAGAGCCTCAAACCCTCCACCCTCAAAGATCTGTTTTGTCACGCCTTAAACCCCTGAACCCACCACGACCTATGCATGCTTTAGAGCTTTTAATTTAAACTCCGCCTTCAAAGATTTGTTTTACGAAAGGTCCGCACCAGAAAATCAAACACCCTCCCTAAAGAACACTAAAAGATCCGTTTTAACTGGCCCCTAAACCGCCAGAACTTCATAGATCTGGTTTATGAAGCCCTTAACTCCTAAACCCTAAACCCTAAACCCTAAACCCTAAACCCTACTAACTCCTAAACCTTCAACCCGAAAGCCTCAGCCCCCAAACTGCAAAGCGTGTCAAGGACTTTGCACGGCGAGTACAGAGAGATCTTCGAGGGGCGCGCCGCAGAGTTCTGCGAGCAGGACACCGGCGCTTGAAGCAGGGCTCATCTCGTAGGGTTAGAAGCTTAAGGACCTCTGAGGGTGTTGTGTGTAGCGCGTTTAGAGTTTAGAGGTTGGTTATACGGGTTTAGGGTTTCTTTACATGAACGCATACTAAGGATCCCGCAGGTTCAGACATATAGTATAGGGCCCATACTAATCAGAATAGGGCTTCGGGGGAACTGATATTATACTACGCTAGTTTCTAACTATAGCAAGGAGCCACATAAAATAGTATTGGTAACTATTTGAGCCCTTGTATTACCCCCAAAACCCCAACCCTGAGTGTTGGATTGGGCTCTCCGAGTAGTAGGTCTGACCCTGCAACCTAGACCCTCCAGCTACCCTCTATTAGACCCTAAATGCCCCTTTTTGGGGACCATATGCCCCTATTTGAGGGTACAAGGAGGGTCCTGCAACAGGAGGGTCTTGATCTCCAAGAGCTTTTGGAGGGCGTGGCGGCATCTCGAATCCGGGGGGATTTGGGCTTCGGGGATTTGGGGTTTAGGGTTCAAGGGATCCAGAAGGGTTCCTTAAAGGGGTCTTTCAGTGTTCTATATAAGGGTTTAGGGATTTGGGGTTTAGGGTTCCTTAAAGGGGTCTTTCAGTGTTCTATATAGGGGTTTAGGGATTTGGGGTTAAGAGTTCCAGGTTACGGGTTCGGGGAAGGGAGCAGTAGACAGTATGAGTCTGAGGCATAAGGCTTGAGGCAAGCGTACTTAGAGGATCGTGGGACTTAGTAAGTAGGGTTATGAGTGCCCCGATTAAGTTTATAAGTAGGTAGACGTAAGTATAGTTACCTTGATCACTTTTTGCTGTGGGTTGTGGGAAACCTGAGTGATTATTGGTACCACCCCGGGCTGATTTCTGTGCTCTGAAACAAGCTTAGTACCTGCCAGCCTGCGGAAGAACTAATGACCCTGAGTCCTACGTATGTTTGCGGGATGACCCCCTAAACCCTAAACCCTAAACACGGTTTCTTCAACCAGAGAGCCTTCGATTGGGGACAGGTGGTTTTGATTATGTACTTTTTAGGGCAGTCTCCTAGAAACGAAGCGAGAAGGATAGAAAGAGAATGGATATGCAGAAAGGCCGGCTTGCTGAGGTTTGCTGGGAGGTTGGACGCTTTTTGGCGGAGCTGGCAGACGAGAAATACAAGCATGTTCTCAGCATCCGAGTGTTGCGGATGTCCAGTTGGGCATTCTAGTTTAGATGTGCCCCAACCCCCAAACCCTAAGTCCCAAACCTGCCCTTCAAACTGAGGCCCCAACAACAGGCTCCTCCTGGAAAAGGAATTCTAGCTGCTGGACAGGTGGAAAAGAGCCCTCAAAAAAAACAAAAACCTGCCGAACATCAAATCCGAAACCCGAAACCATGAGCCCTTAAACCCTAATCCCTAAATCCCTTTATAGAACCCTTCTAGCTCCCTTTAAGGAACCCTTATGGATCCGTTTAATTTAAAGGAACCCCTGTACCCTAAACCCATGCTACCGAGTTGCACAGGCAAGCCTCCGGGACCAGCCTGGCGAGACTCGCGCCGCGGGCCCAGCTGCGACGTGTTTGTAGGGTTTAGGGTTGAGGGTTTAGGGTTTAGAGTTTAGGTTTTAGGGTTTAGGGTTTAGGGTTGAGACTTTCAGGGATTAGGGCCCAGCTCTTAGGGTGACTGCACAGGGATGCACGACCCAAAAGAGTCTTGGTCTTGGGGATAAAAGGACAAATCTAAGGGAATTACGGGATGCAGGGTCGTCGGATCCCGCCCCAACACATAGTTGGACCGCAGGTATCTAGGTTGGGTTCCACAAGATTCAGGCATAGCCGGGGGGATTTGCCGCATCCGTCTCGTCCAGCATGTGACAAATGTTTGATGTTTTAAATCCTAAACTCGGAATCCTACATCTAATTGATTAAAACTCTTGCCTCTTCAACTCCTCCATCCCAAGAGTTTTCAGAAAGGTCCAGGAGGCAAGCTCTCAATCCGGAACCGCCCAA